GGGACGTAGCCACTCTCCACGCATCGATCCGAGCATGCAGGCCGCGGGCTAACTAGGCACAACAAAAGGGAAAGAGAGAGTAGGAAAGACGAAGCTCAAGAAGAAGATACAGTTACGATGGCGCCCGCCCAAAATTACAGTTACTTGCAAGATTAAGGGCGCCGGCTAATCAGAGCTCCGTTGCAGCCGCAAAAAGAAGCGCACAAGCAGAAGGCGTTGCGCGCAAAAGAAATCCCAAATTCCTAAATTCCTAAATTCCTAGCTAATGCAAAAGAAGAAGCACAAATTCCGAAAAGAAAATCCGAAGTTCCGAGAGCCGTCAAGGCTCGACAAGATTCAAAAAGGAAAAGAAAATTCAAAAAGAACGAAGCAAAATTCCCACGCGACCTTCGCGCCTAAAATCCAACAGCCAGAACAAAAAAGAGACGACATCAACCATTATTACTCGCGCGCACATCGGCGCGCCACCCAACCGATCATCCCAGGACTTGCCCAACCCTGAACCCAACCATCTGAAAAGAAGCGACGCAAAAAGACGAAGAAACGAGGACACCGATGCAATTTCCCCTCAATCCCGATTTCCCGTAATTGGCCCATCCTTCCCATCTTAGGACCCCTCGTTGTCATCGTGCAGAAAATCGCGTGGAACAAAAATTGGTTCGTGACATATGTGACGCCCAGGGGGTTCCAATCTTAAGCAAACTCCTGCTTGCTTGTCACTATGACACGTGTTGATGTCTCTAATTGATCGACACGCAAAGCTTTCTACGTTGCCACCAACAATGCGAAGGATTGTGGAAGTCATCCAGTGTGGCAAACGTGGCTCTCTCCTAAACATTCCTCAAGAAGGGCTCTCTTCAATCCAAGGAGGGGATTATTCGTGTCATCGTCGCGGTATGCGCCAATCAACCGTGCATCAATGACCAACGGCCCGGGGAAGCGGAAAGGGAAGACGATATATGGGGGCATGGCGAGGGGGTGGGTTAGTCGGGAGCGGGGGTAGGAAATTCTCCATTCCCGCTACTGTCACAGGAAGCTCCTGATATCGGACGATCCGATGAAAGCGAGGGAATCGATTACCAATATGAGGAAGGGATGCGAGATAGTCGGGGTAGAGGGTGGTGAAAATTTGGAAGAGTGCCGTGCGGAAGTGATCGTGGTTTTCGCATGTGGGGATAGTCCCCGTGATCATGTAGTAAACCTCGATGATGTTGTGGCCTCGCCACGCGGTACTGAAGAGAAGGGCGTGGAGACAAAAGTCAGGGGTGGCACACTGGGTAGAGGGATGGGGATGAACCGTGACAGCAAAACGAGTGGCGTACAAAAAGCGGAAGGTGTCGATTGGAAAGGGATTGCGGGGGAAGGTGATGCGGGTGGTGATCTGGCGGAGGGTGAGGTGGTCAAGGGGACGACGGGATAAGGACTGGGGACGAAGCCCGATGCCCTCATCGGTACGAGCTCGAACTGGTGGACGGGCGAAGGTGGAGGGGGAGGGGGATCGGCTTCGTCGACGTCGGGCCGGTGCGCTCGAAGTCTCGGCAGCAAAGTCCCCATCCTCTGGCTTGGGTGGCTCCGGATACTTGGTTGGATCATCCAAGATTGGCAGATTCGTCCCACTTGCGTACTCTAGCGGCTGCTTACTGGCCACGATCTCTTCTCTGCGCCGCGCCACCGCCTCTGGATCTTCCTCCTGGGCCTGTGTATAGCCCGCCTCCTCGCCCAAGTCTTCCCACTCAGACTCCTCTTGCTCCTCGTCCTCTTCTTCTTCTTCTTCTTCGCTTTGTTCTCCCTCGCTATGCTCACTGTAACTTCCTTCTTCTGGAGTTTCCTCTTCTTCCTCCTCGTCGCCTTCCTCTACGTCCTCTTCTTCTTCCTCCTCTAGCGTTAGCCCTTCGTCTTCGGAGGTCGTTCGAGGCTGAAAGAAGGCGAGGTCGATTATCCTCCGCGGGTCCAGGTATTCTCGTTGCGATGGTGGGTTGTTGTTACCTCCCTGCTCCTCGAGGCAGGCCGACCACTGTAGGTAGGGCGTCAGAGTTCGTAAAAGGACGTGCGGGACCGAGTTTTCGTCACACTGCGAAACGATATCGAGATGGAGATCGTCGACCAGCTGCGCAAGGGGAATCGTGAGCTCATGTACGATCAGCTGTCGATGGTCCGGCCGCACCGCTCCGGATAGAAATCCGAGAAGGTCTCCTTCCACCTCCGTCCTCCAAGCTTGGATGATCAACAGCTCCACGTATTCGATCCAGGCGCGGTGCTCTATGTCCTCCTCCACGTCAGGCGCAGCCCGACCAGACACACGGAAAGATCGACGAAGTGCTCGCACCACAGTTCCCACTGTCTTCGATCGAGGAGGGGAACAACGAGTGATTCCAGACGAAAGGAGAGACGGGGGCAAAGGTCAGACTGCCAGAAGGTAGGGAAGAGAGATGGGAGAGTGAGGGTAGAGAGTTGGGAGCAGTTTCATTAGGGGCGCTGGAAAGGTACGAGCTCAGGAAGCACCACCGCCAGCTCGTTCCGAGACGTTCGGAGCCCTCCGACGTCGATGCCGTCCGAGTCTGTGTGTCTGTATGTCGGTGTGTTTGTCTGTCTGTTTGTCTGTCTGTATGTATGTATGTATGTATGTATGTATGTATGTATGTATGTATGTCGGTGTGTATGTCTTTGTCCATCTGTATGTCTGTATGTCTCTGTGTCTGTGTGTCTCTGTGTCTCTGCCTGTCTCTTTGTCTCCGTATGTTTGTCTGTCTATCTGTCTGTCTGTCTGTCTGTCTGTATGTCGGTGTGTATGTCTCTGTCCTCTGTCTGTCTGTCTGTGTCTGCCTGTCTATCTGTCTGTGTGTCTGTATGTCGGTGTGTTTGTCTGTCTATCTGTCTATCTGTCTGTCTGTCGGTGTGTATGTCTCTGCCTGTCTGACTGTCTCTGTGTCTCTGTGTCTCTGCCTGTCTCTTTGTCTCCGTATATCTGTTTGTCTCTGTCTGTCTGTCTGTCTGTCTGTCTGTATGTATGTCGGTGTGTTAGTCTCTGTCCTCTGTCTATCTGTATGTCTGTGTGTCTCTCTGTCTGTTTGTTTGTCTCTGTGTCTCTGTGTCTCTGTGTCTCTGTGTCTCCGTCTGTCAGCCAGTCTGTCTGTCTGTCTGTGTCTGCCTGTCTGTCTGTTTGTCTGTTTGTCTCTGTCTGAATCTGTCTAACCGTCTGTCGGTGTGTATGTCTCTGTCTGTCTGTCTGTGTCTGTGTCTGTGTCTATGTGTCTTTGTGTCTCTGTTTGTCTCTGTGTCTATCTGTATGTCTGTTTGTCTCTGTGTTTCTGTCTGTCTATCTGTCTGTCTGTCTGTTTGTGTCTGCCTGTCTGTCTGTCTGTATGTCTGTATGTCTCAGTGTCTCAGTGTCTGTCTGTCTGTCTGTCTCTGTGTCTCCGTGTCTTTGTTGCTTGTTGTGAGTGTTCTTGCTGCAGCCCTGAACTGTTATCTCTGAGAGCTTGTCCCGGTCTGTTGCTTGTGCTCAGTGTTCTCGCTGCAGCCCTGAAATGTTATAGTCCTATAACCAGTGAGCAGTCCTGACATGCCACAATGGTTTCAGTTCTACAATCTCCGAGAGGCTGTCCTGGTCTCTTTTGAGTGTTCTTGCTGCACCCCTGAAATGTTGTAGTCCTATAACCACTGAGCAGTCCTGACATGCCATAATGGTTTCAGTTCTACAATCTCTGAGAGATTGTCCCGGTCTGTTCCTTGTGCTGAGTG